TATCCACTTCCCCTGTCTGGGCTGCGAAAACTTCGTTGATATGTGGCTCGGCCGAAATGACTTTTTTTTGCCCCCCCCCCCTGTATATCACGAGGTTTGTGGAATGTGGAACTATCATATTGAAATGGTTAACTACTAAATATATATGGACATATTTAACCTATATGGACTTATGATAGTTAACACAGGACAGGATAAGGATGACAGGTGCGTTAAATTAGGAATGTTTTTCTTTTTCGTATACTTTAGGTCTACCTACAGAAAGGAAAAGTAGTTTAACCAATTGAATTCGGTTGTTCAGCACTAGTAAGAGATGGGAAACCCTAAGGTAGGATATTATTCATGGACATGATAAGATAAGATATCATACTGGAAGTTCGTACTTCAGAATTTAGGTCTGGATATTGGATTTTCATTTTCTATAAGGACCATGACTTCGAAAACGGTATGGTAGACCATCAAAAATTTTTTTTCGACCTCCTTACTCTTATTAGGGAAAACTCCTAAGACCCTTAAACAGAATACTTCACTACTACTACTACGCATACATTATTACATCTAGGCACCACAGATTAATTCAATTCTTGATCACCATATAACTGCTTAGCATTTAATTACATCAATAACCATCATTCCCAGTAACTTGCCTCTAAACCAAATTTAGAACAACAACTTACATACTACTTATTACATATGCATCCTTTACATGTACATTGGGGCCCCGCGCTTTTTTTCCTTCTTTTCTTTTAATTTTTTCTACTTTTTGTTTTTCTTCCTTGTCCCAATGCTAATCAACAATATCTAAACACACCTAAAAGAGGGCCATACCTCTTGATAAAAATAGGGACTAGCGCTGATGGGGTTATACAAGTCAAAAATGGCAAGAGGGGTCATTTTTGGCGCCCCAGCGCTAGTAGTTCTTGCAGGGAGAGCCACCCCCTGGGCAGCAGCCCTGCCGAACCTTCGGGAAGACTCCTCTCTGCGTATGGGTTTGACCGCTCATGCGCTTAGATCTTAGGTCAAAAAATGCGAAAACTTAGCGCTTCAAATTATTACACAACTACACGGTTCACCAAGGTAAGGGATGGGGTACATAGTTATAAACTAGCAGAATTTGGCAATGATATCAAAGGATGCAAATGTAATAGGAAAATTTGTAGAACATGTAGTATAACAAGTGTAGATAACTTTATTATATCAAAAGTTACAAATCCTCAAAATTAATACTTTCAAAAGAAAGGATACAAATGTGATACAAAAAATGTTATATACTGTCTTACATGTAATGGATGTGGACTGCAATATGTGGGAATGACTATAAGAAAATTACGAGATAGGATAGCGGAACATATCGCTAATATCACGACACACAAAACACACACTCCCTTATATAATCATCTTCATAAGTGTAATAAAGGAGTTACCGTACAAGTACTTGATTCTGTAGGCGATAATAATAAAAATACTTTGTTAGATAAAGAGGTTTTTTGGATCAAGCTGCTCATGACAGCGTATCCCTTCGGATTAAATGACAATATTAAAGGATATGGCAACATAACTAATGCTGATACTCCTCTTATGTGTAATAAAAGTCCCCCTTACTTGAAGATAACTAAAGAAAGGAAAAACAGAGGAAAAAACAACAAGAAAGAAAAGAAGGTATACGCTTTTGCAGACATTTTGGAAGACATATGTAGCAGTATTGGAGAACTAGAACCCATAGAATACTATAGATTACTTAAGAAACTTCGCAGAAAAGAAATAGACAAAATAATCAAACTATCACTATCTGCCGACTTTTTGAACAGAGTCAACAACCAAAATAAGATTTCTAATATTTTGCCTTCTTTCACATTTACAAGGTGATATTACCAGTAGAGAAAAGAAGAAAAAACAAACTGTGCCTTAATATTGATATAAGGTTCAAAAGCACTACTCTTAATGACATTCCTTCTAGCAGAATATTCGACTCATCTAAGATCAAGAAAATACTCTTTTACTAATAAAGAAAAGAGTCTAATTACACTCCTGTAAGAATAGTGTATAAATACGAAAACACTGTAGCTAGTAGAATCTGCAATTATAACAAAACACTCAAAGAATTGGATCATAAAAAATTGGAAGAGATATTCAATAAAGAATGTGTATGTAGTACAATTGCTGTTAGAGAATATACGGATGTTAATCACGGACATGTTATAACAGGAGATCTTAGTTTTATTAAGAATGAAGAATTTAGAAAGAATTTCAAGTAAAGGAACGAAGTATAGACCAGATACAGGTATTACTAGACAAGAGATTAAAACACTATACACAGAAACAGTCCAGAAAGTAATAAACTATTTCAAAACAAAATATAAGATAAATAACCATAAAATCAATTTAATACAACAACATTTACAATCAAGTTATTATAACAAAATCAAACCTCTCCTAACCAATACCAAAATCAATGGAAGAGGAGAACATGTACCGTATAACACGCTTAAGAAATATCAAGAAAACTTTATATTTTGCCCCTGGATAAAGCCAGCAAGGACTATGGCATCATTTGTAAGAAGTTCTACCTTCTCACCATCATGAAGGAAATAAGGCATTGACTATAACTACACTAACAAAACATTTACGTATGGAAGTAGTAACAATACATATGAAATATTACGACAAGTCAATAAGTTCTCTATAATTCTTAACCATAAACTATTTTGTGTCCGTAATGGTCTTAATATAATAATCGACTCTGACTTACCAACTATCTACGCCCTCCCTAAACTACATAAAGACCCGCTTAAATTTAGATATATAACCGGAGCTCACAGTAGTAGTATTAAACCACTTGCACAAGAACTCCACGTTATTTTTGCATCTCAAGAAACAACTTACCAACTACACTAATGCAATGCAAAGCAGAAACAGAACAATTAAAGGGTACTGGTCAATAAGTAACATAAATATTAGTCCTGAGCTCAATAATATCATAAGCGAAAACCTTAAAATTTACACTGCTGATTTTACGGACATGTTTACTAATTTAGACCATAAACTAATTATTAGAAACATTCAGGATCTGCTTACAATATGTTTTAAAAATGCAAGCAAAACTTACATTGCTACAAACGGACATCATGTATTCTACACGGATGACAGAGATAGTAAGAATAATTATAGATACTATAACAAATAAAGATTTATTATACCTAGTGGAATATTTACTACGGAAACAGCTTCTGCATCTTTGCAAACAATGTTTACAAACAAACCAAAGGGGTTCCACAAGGAGGTAACTTCAGCCCTCTCTTAGCTGATCTTACCCTATCAGTTATGGAGTATAAATATGCTAAAAACAAAAAACTTTTTGATAGTAAGTTATTCATACCATTTAGATATATGGATGACTTGTTTATCATACATAACCAAAATGAGAATGATGTGGACATGCAGCTTATAGAAGTTTACAAAAATGTTTTACAGTTAAAGAAGACTCATATAAGTGGTAGCAGTTCTAACTACTTAGATTTGAAAATAGATATAACTAATAACAGGATTACCACTTCATTGTACAATAAAACTGATGACTTCACATTCAAAATTATTAGGTTTCCACATAGTAAGCAACATTTTAAACAACATTAAAGCTTCAGTTATATATAT